TCCGGCTGTCCTGGCTGAGACACTGACTTTTTCTTATAATAATTTCATCCCTAACTGCTTTTTGTTTGTGATTTTATTTTTTTTTTAACCTTCCTTATGCTTTTTAAACCAAAGCCTCATTAAAACAGACATTCAAATGAAAACAAACAACCCCCCTAAACCAAAACAAATAAACAAACAAACGAAACAGTCTGCTAATCAGTGGAACTTTGACCTAAGCCCAAACACATTTCTGTGATTAAGGTGAATTCTGTCTGGAGAAGAAGGCAGTAAGATCTGCATCAAAAGTCTGTTACCAAAGCTGCTACCCTGATGTTACAGGAGATAGTCCCTTGTCCAACTGAAAAGCAGCTGAAACAGCACAAGGTGGACAGGCAGCTCTTACGGTACTTGAAAGCATATTTTCTGCATTACACATGTGGGAAAACCAGTCCAAGTTCAACCCATATTTTATATTTCTCTGGTTAGGGAAGGAAAAAAAACCCACCACCCCATTTTCCACTGTGGTCCTTGAAAGAAACATCAGCTAAGGTTTAAATTTTAAAGTTAGAATTGTCTCTCTCCAATTTGTTCACTGTAAATGACAGCTCCTTGGAAGCAGACCATTTCACTTTGCCATGAAGCACAAGCAGATTTTTCTAGATGCTGGCAGAAGGGAAGGGAGCAGAAACAAACAGGTGAACACCAGAGGAGAGGAGAAGATGGCAATAGGTGGGCTCAAATATGTCAGAAGGACTATGAAAAGGAAAGAATCCAACTCAGTTAATTCACCTCTGAAAAAACACAGGACATGCTACTTTGTGTGCTCTAATGGGAAAGTTACCCGAAACAATGAAATACAGATCTGGTTGGCAGTGCTCCCGCTACTCAATAATACTCCTCCATGTGCTGCTAAGTAGCTCTGTTGGGTTAAATCCTTCTATGGTGTTCTAGCAATCTCACTATATCCACTTTATCAGTTTAAAAACACTCTCGACTTTTTTTTCCATGCAAAACATTCATTACAGAAGAGAACCTTGACTGTTGGATGTACACTGCATGCCCCACAGTGCCTTTTATTCCATGATATATTACAAATTTGAAAGTTAAACTAAACTACAAAAAAAGGAGAAAAAAAAATCTTCAAACATATAAGACTGAAACTAGGGCTTTCCTAAATCTAAGACAGCTACCTTCTGAACAAGTGCTGCAAAAAACAGTAAAAAGAGGATCTACAAATGCAGATTTTTTCCACAGACACAGTGGGGGAAAATGTTAGTGGAAGAACATGCTATTCTCGTTCAAGTGAAAAAAGTGACTAACCTCAATGTCAGGCACCAGAAGGTTTGTTTTAATTAAATCTTTATCTCGATATGTTTGTACCTGAAAAGAGTCATTTCACTTCCTAGTTAAATACAATCACCTCAGAGTATGAAAGCAATCAAGGGACTGATGCTGTAATGTGCCAAACTGTGCACAACAGTAAAGCAAGCTGAGTATTAAGAAGACTGATGAATGCCCTTGAACTTTACTAAACGGCAGATAGAGAAAATTTTAAACATAGTTTAAGATTTCAGGCATTTCTTGTGAGATAAATAGCGAGTCACAAACAGTCAGAATCTCAGGGCTTTTTGTTAGTTTGGTTTTTAAATTTACTCAACATTCATTCTAACATTTGCTGTTAGCCATTTGAGTCAATTGACTCAAAGGGAAGAGTGCCACCTACTGAAATATGCTTCAGAGCTAGAAAATAAAATGGATAGTGGCACTGACTTCTGCAAAAGTGAATCATTCCAGATTCCATATTCAAATTATAAAATCCACAGTAAAAAAAAGGTACAGTGGTTGGGGTTTGGTATATCCTAATTAAAAACAGACAGAAAAGCAGATTTTGATGCATATAAGAACATGGGCAGCGAGATCTCTTAAAAGAAAGCTGACATCATAGGAGCACTGTGATCAGAAAGCATGAAGCCATTCTCTTGTCTGACTGAGAAACTACTGATGCAGTATGCATTTCAAAGGACTAGAAAAGGACATTTTGTGACTTACGTACAAGTCAGCAGACTGCCTTCCTGGGATCAGTCACATTTCTTAAAATTTAATACTTGTCATTCAGGTTTATACATGCAAGTATTAGAGATCACTCACTTTTCAGTATGTGCTCTACATAAAGGTGAAGTTTCATTATACAGTTCTGCACGCCCAAAGCAGTAGAAGCAGCTTAAAAAGCACAAACTACAAGTCTCAGGTATGTTCATAATCACATATGTAGAACAAAAATTTTTGAGCTGATGGTTATTTGAATAGTCTGCAGTTCACACAATAAGATCAATATGGTAACCAATAACCTCGTGACCACTATGGAAATAAAAATAACACACAACTATCAGCAGTTTCAGAAAAACACACAGCTAAACATATTATAGAACTCTTATCTGCAATGACATGATTCACCTTTAAGTACCTCTACATCAAAATAGAAATGTTTTCAACTGCCACTTACCAAGTACAAGAAATATCCACCAAAGCCAGTACTGCCCATTGAAATATCCAGTAAAATAATCTGAAAACTGAAAATTCATACACAAAGCTTAGCTGCAGTATAAGAGATGATTTAAGACATATTTAATGCATTATGCAAATACAGAAAGCACAGAGGAAAAAGCAAGTTTGAAAACAAGTAATATATTCAACTAAAATGCAAAAGTGGTATTTCTGCAGTAATTTAACATACAAGTAACACTTCCAGTGTCAGCTGGTCTGTAGCAAAGTTATTTTAAAACTTCTAAAAAAACTTGTGTGTGTATATATATATAAAATATACACGTGTGTGTATATATATGTATTAAAAACTTTGTATTACTGGGCAGAGTAATCTGACATTTTCTACTATAATGAATCACCAATTATCAATTTTCCTTTTTTCCCTCCAGTGCCTGCCATCCCAAACACATTACAGCAGCCTGCTGCTTTAGATATTAACACGAAAAGCCACATTAGTTTAATCTTATCAGACAGGGATGTTCTGCTGACCCCTCAAAAGAAGAGCTTTTGACCTTCTGTATACCCCCTACTGTTAATCGCTGCCAAGAATACCAGCCCCATAAAGACCCCCAACTCATTAAAGTCTTTTCATTTTCAAACCAGCATTCAGTTCCCAGCAGTGAGCTGAACGCAACTAAATGAACCTTGAAGTGGCATTTCAACTGTTCCTGTTAGTGACCATGGTAGACAGTTTTGTCCTCCCTGTGATGTGGGAGGCAGCTGGAGGGCAGGGTGTGATGGTATTGTAGACAGGTATCTGTGCCTTTACCAGACTCCAGACTGCATGCTTCACTGATAAAAAGGCTAATCAAATGTCTCCAAAACTCACATAAGAAGTAGGAATGGAGAGATGCGTGAAAACTTGACAGAAGGAATAAAATAGCTATTTAATAGCTCTGCACACTTCTCATATGCTTCCCATCCTGCTATCACTCAGTATATTTACTGCACCCTGCCACAGTGCTTCCCATTTGCCATTTCTAGGACATTTCAGCAGTATCAACCAAGAAATCAAGTAATTAAGGCATGCAATTCAGTTTAATGAAAAAAAACCCAAAACAAACGAAAAAAAGAAAAAAAAATCCAACCAAAAAAAGGAAAGGGAAAAGAAAGAGAGAGAGAGACAGAAGAGACTGGGCCACATAAGCAACCAGATTAAAATCCAAGACACTTAGAGAACTCCATGTATAGCTGTTTTTCATTTCAAGTAACTATGCACCAAGATCCACATTTTTGCCAGATGATGTGAATTCTTTAGACGTTTAATCTTGTAATGTTTTCCTTTATATGGGCAATCCAAGAAAAAAGTAGCAAGAAACAGAATTTCTAAGTTGAACTGAAGAACTGGTACTTACATTATCCCTATATAAATAATGACATTTCTATATTCATCAGGGTAAGCATTTTAATTTTGACCCTTCATTAAAATATTAAATGAATACTCAATTCCCAAGAAGTTGACAAACATTATTAATCCCATCTGACTTGATAGCCAGTATTTTTAATTCTCTAAACATACATCCCAATACATTTTTTTTAAAAGTCACAATTGTATTTAACTGGAAAGAAGATCTACTAAAACCAGCAATCCAACACTGACACACGTGCATGACTCTCACACTTTGTTTAGGCAGAAGCAGCCATGGCTGCAAAACCTCTCCAAGGGCAAAACCGTGCTTTTGCTTTGTACCCCACTCTACCCTACACCCCAAAGTAAAAACTGGTACACAGAACATGTATGAACTTGGGCTATTTAGACACTATAAAGTTTTGTACTATTGATCCTGAGTGAGAGAGCGTAGCACAATACTTTGGAGAAGTTTGAAACAAAGAAACAGGCAATTTCGTGTACACACACGTGCTTATGTATCACCATTAAAATAAAATTGTGACATACACATCATAAGCTTTCTGCTATTGTCTCTAGAAAGGGAGACAACACAGGAACGTGATAATCTTCACTACAGCAAAGTGATCCTAGATCTCTTTCTTCATTAAGCAGGATGAGTTTTTAAATGATGTGTCCACAGACATACCGACTTCAAGTTCAGAAAGAATCACTGTGTTTCATCTAGCATCCACTTAATCAAGCTAAGTAACTTCCATCTGGCTAACCTACCTTTCTGAAAAGCACCTGGTCTTTCAGTGAAAATATGAGAAATTGAGCATCTTAGATGGTAAAAATGTGGCTAAATAGTCAATTCTGATTTGATTCGTATGTATCTTACAAGGAATAAAAGAATCAGATAAAAGGAAGACATTTTTTTCTGAACCACTCCCTCCCCCAGATAAGCCATTTATAAATCTTTCATACAGGACACCAAAATAACAGTGACATTTTAGGTACTTGCTCCACTTCTTCTGTAGGCTCTTAAGTAGTTATGCAAAGAATGAGTCATTCTGCATTTTATTTTAGTGGAAGCATGAACGTAAGATGCTATGTCAGATAAAAATAGATTAACTTCATCATTAGTAAGCATATATGACTATAGAGCAAGTAAATTTTCTACTAAAGTGGAAGTTGGGAAAATTCTAGGCGCTCCGTTAAGCACTGGAATATACTGGCTTTTATTATATATCCTTGAATAAATTGTTACAGTTTGGTTCTACAAACAGTGTGAATCATGAAACATACCCGAACAATGAGAATCCATTTGATCAGGGAGAGACCAAATCCACAGATTGCACCATACCTTCCAGCTATGGTATTTGTTATACAGAAGGATAAACAAAATCCAATCCAGTTGAAAATAAATGCCACTATAAAATAAAAGAAACAGTAGCTTCTGTTAATCTGTATAGCTAAGCAAACAGCCACAACATTAATTTTACTTTTAAACTAATAAGGACATGCTTACACAGTCAGTAATTCCCTTCCTGTAATTCAGGCTTTGAGAGATTGACTTTGAACCCAGACATTCCCCATGGTATAGTCACTTAATAACAAAGCAAATGGTAAACAGGCTGGAACCTACTACTTTAAACAAGAGAAAATTCCAACATAAAAGGAAGTATTACACTGCTACGGAAATCTAACCAGATGACAGTAGACATGAAGGGTAAATGTAAACAAAGGTCTATTACATACAAGACTTGAATTAAAACAAAGAAAAAAACCTTGCTACACTTTTATAACCAAAAATATAGTTATATGCACACATACGTGCATGTATCAAGGCTGCATATTCAGCTTTTTCCAGTTTGGATCGAACAGAATAAAAGAATCCGCTCTTGCTCTGTCAACATAGTACAGAAATGAAGATAAGTTTAGAAGCTGATGGTTCATTGGTTACTGTCTTCTCTTTTAGAGAAACAAAAAGGACATTTAGCATGACTATCACTGTTAGGTTAATTAACACTTTCACACACCTCCCAGTAGTTTTACAAGTTAAAGTTTCATATGTACTTGGCAATCAACAAGATCATGTGTACTGACTTGAGTTGGGGTGCACTAGGTCAAAGTGTGGGAATTCCCATCTTAATGATGTCCCAGCTTTGGAAGTAAGTGAGGGCAACTAAAAAGAAACACACACACACCCCCGCTCCAAACGAAAGAGCTGGGAGAAGAAGATAATTCAAGAGTTCTGGAGAGGGCAAGACAGTGGAAAACTGAAAACATTAGGGAAGCCCACAGTATGCAGGAATGGAAGGGTGGCAGAAGAACAAAACCCCTGCACACAAATCCTGAATGTTTTCAATCCCCAAACCTAGGGAAAAAGCAAAACCCACATCAAATTCAGGCATTAAATCACCACAGAAAAGCAGGAATGGAAGGGTGGCAGAAGAACAAAACCCCTGCACACAAATCCTGAATGTTTTCAATCCCCAAACCTAGGGAAAAAGCAAAACCCACATCAAATTCAGGCATTAAATCACCACAGAAAAGAAAAAAAAAAAAAAAACCGAGTCTGTCTTTTCAGTAAAAGTTTGAACACTTACAGCAAGAGACATTAGGAACAGAAAATTGATCAGAAGCTTTCTTAAATAAAAGCAAATTTCGGAGGATTATCTATAAACCACCTCTTTTTCTGTAATTTAAAACCTTGTTATAATTCCTTCAGCAATCCACATGAAGATGCAATGATTTGCCCACCAATGCAAAATTTGTCTGTGAAACTGCAGTGCGATTCCACAAACTGTAAAGAAACTGAAGTTCCAGGAAAAGTTTTGGAAGAGTTTACATCAACACAGTCATTTTGTAGAAGTGAGAAAATGTCTTGCTTTGGACAGAGCCATATGTAACAGATGGTGGCAACGAGAAAGCCTTCTTTTATCCTAGTTACTAATCTTAACAAAAAACAACAATCAAACCCCCCAAAAAACAACCCAACAACAACAAAAGTCCACAGCACTAAACTTTGAATAATTGATCAAAATTGGCTTATCGTAGAATCATAGAATGGTTTGGGTTGTAAGGGACCTTAATGATCATCTAGTTCCAACCCCCCTGCGATGGGAAAGGCACCTTCCACTAGACAAGTTGCTCATGTAAGAACTACAGAATGACACTGTGACTCTAACATTTACCTATATTTCCAAAATACAAGTAATTTATTTGATAAATTATTTTTAACACAGGATTTCCTTATTTCAAGCAAGCTCTCAAAATCCACCATCCTTTTAAGAGTAACAGATTTCAGAAGCCATGCTTCATTGCATCTCTGTTCTTGTCTCAGTGTAACAACTTAACTGCTCTCTCCCTTTCTCCCCACTATTCCAAGCCATGAAGGGTGACTTTAATTATGGCCCCAAAGACAGGTATGCTAAAAAATACAGAAAATAGACATGTTTCTAATGGCCTATGCAGAATAAAGGAATTCCCAGAATACTTAGAATAGTTATATATATGAAAAAATAAGGTTTTTTACAGCACTTGAACCGATTAATATTTGTGATATAAAAATAGATTTCCCATTCATAAATACAGGAGGGGAAATCAAAGTTGAAGACAATTACAATTTTATCCTTCTTCTACTTTGTTCTAAAAGATATTCAAAATAGAATCCACAGACACTGGAGAAGTCATGGATAGATGGATGTTTAACACTGAATTATTTGCCCAACTCTTGAAAGAAAAGGTATTGGCATGTTCCAACACTATTCACAGGTTTCTCCATCAAGATAAGATTAAAAATAGCATGGTGAAGGGAGAGACTAGTAAGAGGAAGTATCTACTATCTTCCCTAGAAGTACCAACATCTACTATTTGTATGCATCCACTCACTTTGTGAAATACAAAACTGGCACTGCTCAGGAGTTAAAGAGATGACCTCGTCCCTCATACCACTTCAGCTTCCCATAGCATTCTCATACAGACAATGCTCCTGGTCTGATCCTAATACACGCTCTCGTAAAGAAGAAAGCCATACCCAAAAGTGAGATAAAAAGACTAACAAGCTGCTACAACCACATTAATGTTTAAATTAAAAAAGCATTCTTAACTTCCGTTTGCTCATTCTCTCCATGCAGCTGGGTTCTGTGTTCATTTTCTGGAGTCCTACTGCAAGACCAACCACTCTGCAACAAGAATCATTTCCTACGCCAGAGATCACTAGCATTTAGATTCATACTGCAGCCCAACTTTCAACTATTGTCCTCTTTCCTTTGATAAACTTCACACATTTAGATGAAACTCACAATGACTGCACTGACGTAATGATTTCAGTATCTCTCTTTGCTACTCTAACACCATACAGACAAGTGGTACTGAAAAATGTAAGATTTTTGAATTTATGCATTCCTGAAGTGACAGCAAGAGGAGAAAGTAAGTCTATATTAATGTAATTCACATAAAGAGAACATAACCACTAGAGTTATTTCCTTGTAACAACACAACTCAATAAAAACAGGTAAGAAGTTGCTTTTTAGGAGGAGGAGGGCTGGACTGAAGGCCTTTTTTAATAAAAAGTCTTCTTGATATCCTATATAGCACTCAGAACAATTACACTGTACTTGTGTTTCTCCTTATATTTTGCAATAAGATAATTCCAGCCAAAATACAAAGCACAGCATGTTCCAAATCTGATACGCAAAATGAAGCTATACATCAGCTATTTCCACAGTAAAAGCCCTCTTCTAAGGGGCAGCAGCCAGCATAGGATTTTTCATATCAAAAATTAAAGTTAGAAATCACAAGTCTTTTATCTATCAGCAATTCCAAAGAGGGTGGAGTAAAATAATTCAGCTTGGTTTTGACAAACAAACCATTGCCATTTTTCATTCTCAAGTAACTGCAGAGGCAAGGCAAAGATTATGTAGAAACCTGTACTTAGCTATTAATAATTTATTTATTCATGCTTGCTTTTTGTCAGTGCTCATTCCATTAAAAGCAATAGACACATCCTTTCATTATACTCCCACAATTTACAGTAAACAAAAAAACCTTAGTTTGTCAAGTTAAGCAATCTTGTGCAAGGTTTTGAGTAATACATACTGCAATGTATTAGAAGATGTAACAATAATGACAAGCATACTAGAACAAATCTGCTTTTTCCTCAATTGCTGTTGCACTTCATTTGCTGATCTGTTTTACTTAGCTTTCCACAGCTACACATTAATCACCTGTCTTAAGTTTATATTCAGTATCATGAAAAGAAGCCAAAACCAGTCTAAAGACTGAAGTTGGTTCCAAATTTTAACAGTGGCTCAAGCCTGTGATAAGATTATAATGGCAACTATATATATATATATATAAGAAAAAGCAACCATGCCGTTACACTATTTATTTCCCAATTTGTTTGTCCAATGACTTATTATTTTAATATACAGCAAACACCAAAGAGCTTAATATTTCCTACCTGACCTAGGTTTACGAAGCATACAGCAATAAATTAATATTTATACATCTTCACACACCACTAGAAATTATTCTTTCCATTCTTTCAAAGAATTTACTCTATTTCTAAACTAGTACACATTTTTGTTCGTTCCTGAAGGGCTCACCTTAAGTCTGATGATGATCACTAGAAGCATTTGCTACCAACTTCAACAATTTTTTTTTTTTTTCTACTCAGTGATGAATGTTCAAAAACTTCCCTAGGCAATTTACTTCTACTGCTCCATTACCCTTGTTGGTAAATTCTTCTTAATGCCAACTAGAAGATTCCTTGTTCCAATTACTTTGTATTATATTCAATACATACGGAGAAACCATGCAAGTCAACTTTTTTCTACATTAAGAAACAAGTTAGGTGATTATGTACAGAAGTCAGCCAGGCTCGCCTGATAACTAGAGAAACAAGCATGCCGTAACCAGTTCCTTCATCTCTTTCCAACATCTGCGATTTCAGTCAGATTACTTCCCCTCAGCTTCTCCTACATGACTAAGGGGAACCAGCACAACATTTGTGATGTGAATATACAGAAGTCAGGTATCCTAAATTCACACAGAGGAATACAGCCACCAGAAATTTACACCATGCTTATCACTCCTGAAGAAGCATACAACCGGAGGCTGTGCTCATCCTGAGCTTCTGCTATAACTCTGCCTTATAACTTGTACCCGCTTGAAACCCCCTAAGTAGATACCCTAGCTTGTGTGCAGTTTACTGACTGTTTAAAGCATCTATTAGCTTTGAAAACTGTATGAACATTGATTTACGAAATTTTGGTATTGCTATTATCTGCTCTAATACAGAATCTAGGACAGTATGTACATTATGTTTTTCCACATCATGAGTTGTATGCAGTGTTTAAATTGCCCAGATGTTGTTCAAAAAGAACAAATCAGATCTCTATATGATAACTTAAACTTCAGCTGTATCATCAAACACTTTTCTCCACTTCTTCCTCCTTATTATCTATGAGGTCCATTATTAATAATATCCATTATTTCCAGGTTGTAGGAACAACCCAAAACTCCTTTCCATGGTTTCAGAGAATCCAGATGAGCTCCATAATTCCTTCTGGGTCCCACAGGTGAAAAGGCTAGTTGATATTTCTCAAGCTCTCCTTAAACATATGGAAAAACCATATCAGCCTTTTCTTACTATACAAAACAACCTCCTTCACAGAACAAACCAGGATGAGACAATCAGATGTGATTCAAAAGACTTCCACTAAAGACAGACTAAGCATGAAAATCAAACCCTTTGGGTCAAGACAGTTACTTGCTTTATCACAATTACAAAATGAAAAGACAAAGCACAGATTTTCTTCCTTTTTGTTGTGCATACCAACCAAAAAACCAACAACAATGACAAAAAAATCATTCTGAGAAACTCACTCACCTATTGAACAACTTCCTCTGACATTCTGGAAAGAGTCTACTATGCTGTATAAGGCACAGCTGAGTTTAACATATGTAATATTAAAAAACATATTAAGTGGTCCAATAGCAATATTTCCTGCATTTCACATTCACCACAAAATTAATACAATAACTAATGAATATGTTCACCAATATATTCATTACCTCAAAATCAGAAACGGACAAGCACCAGCCCTGATCACTACAGAGAAGATTCTTTGCTCGTCAACATAATCACAGATTTCACAAGCAACACCAATTTCTTAAATATGTGATTTTACCACATATAAGAAATAAAATAGGTTGTTTTCCAATTTTTTCTAAAGTTTCTGAATCAAATGCTAAAGGAAAAAATCCGCTTGTTCATGGAAAGGACTTTTTATTCTTTATATTGTCTCATTCTATTTAGTTATGCTAAACAGAGCAGTACTTTATAACTTAGATGAGAAACAGGTTTGTAACTCTCATGCACACAGCTCCTAAACCAAACCAAACCCCCAAACAAACAAATGTGGCCACTAGATGGCCTCAAGACAGCAATTTGCTGCAACTTGGGCAGCTACCACTAGATGCCACTACGTATCACTAGTTGATTGCAATAAAATCATAGTATAGTTTGGGTTAAAAGGGACTTTACAGATAATCTAGTTCTGACACCCCTGCCATGGGTAGGGACACCTCCCACTAGACCAGGCTGCAACAGTCAGGAAAGCTTAGCAAAATGTTTTATTTTATTATACTTCAACTGAATAAAATGTAATTGTCCTGGGTTAGCTTAAACCACGACAGTAATTAAAAAAAAAAGCTAACTTCACTGTGTTACATTTAAAACAAAGGCAGCCTGTCCCTGCCTGCCCTCCCCCCAGGATCTTTCTACCAATGCTGTACTAACAGTCACTCACGGGAGGAGGTGGGAGAGCACATCTGGAACAAGCCATTCATTCCATGCTCTTCTCACTAGACAGCAGTTTCTGACAGTTCTGCACTTTAACTAAGGGAGCTTACTCTAGGCTATGATGTGCCCCTTCTACTTGTAGCATTTAAACATATGCCACCTGAAAAAGCAACCCAAGAGACAGCCATAATGTAAATTTCATTTTAATTCTTGCTCTCTTCAATCTACATACATCAACTTAACAGAGGCTTTTATCTCCTTATTAGAAGAGGAGATCTCCTTATTAGAGTGACAGGAATACACCACCTGTTATTTACGGTCTACCCTCACGAAGTTAAGCTCATTTTTGGTTAGTTCTCAAGTTTCCCTATGAAAAGCTACTAAAAATTACACTACAGCTATGTGCTCTGGGTTTTTGTGAACTTGTACTATGAGCACAACAAGTAAACTTTCTCAATTTCCATATGTAGCCTGTATCCACAACAGCTATCACAGATCTCAATTAAACATAGACCTGCATAAGTATCTTACAACGTGTAAGCACTCATTTTATGCATTTCATTCATAGACAAGTAAAGTTTGCAGTAAGAATTTCAAAGTAACAAAAAAATATGATCTATAAAGTATTTTTGTTAAATGCGTAAAAGCAGTGCTCTGTGCAGTCTTAGCTAAACAGCTATTTGAAGAGAAAGCTGTCAGTTTACCCAAGTAAATGTCTGCATTATTGAAGGCGGACACAACATTTTGGGTACATAGTTTTGAACAAATGTAATTTTATGGACTTAAAACATGTTAGAGCCAACAATCCACTTGACGTCCAAGTGCAGTGCTAACGAAAGCCTGAACCAGAATTTAAAAGCAAGAACAAGTTTAGACAATACAGAACCTCAATAGGTTAAACACAAAAAGTTGTAGCACATACAGAAGGTGAAAAAAGGGAAAAAGAAACAAAGCCATACCTGCCTTTGACCCGAGAATATATACCCTTTCTATGGTCCAGCTACAGAAAGAGGTCGAACTACAAAACTCATTTGTTACCCTACAGATGTATTTATATTATTTGCTATGAGAGGTAGACATGTATTTTTGTTCAAGGATGCAAACATCCATTCTCCCAGTACATCATAAGCCAACATGAAAAAAGCCTTCTGTTAAAGTTCTGTAACCTGCACCTGAAACAGTTAAATAAAGAGGCTGTGAAAGACAATAAAGAACAAAGAACTAAGGTGAGATCTATGTTGAAAGACATAATGGAGATTTCACTGGATCTTAATCAGCTTTCATTCTGATGAATATTTAAAAGCTGCATCCCTGACACAATCCCTGGCTTCCATCCAGGTTGCCAGACACATTTATTTTAGAAAGGGAAAATATCCTCAGAAATTAGGAGGAAATACACAATTAACAAAACAGAAGCAGCTTCTTTCTAGAAACAACTTACAGTGGTTAAATCTGACTTTGCTCAATGCAGTACATAACTTACAAAACATGCACAGTGCACAACACAGTACCTGAAGAAGTGTTATAAGCAGTGCTGGCTGTAATCAGACATTACCAAAGACATTTTCATATGATAGTGGTTAGTTCAAGCTGAAAATGAGCATGGCTGGATTTGTTCCAAAAATCCACCCACAGCTATTTAATTCTCTACACTAGCATCAGCAACTTTATACGGCACATCATATTTCTCTTTTTTTTTCCACTCAAAAATCAATTGTCAGACTTCTGTGATCCAACCTTTAATTCAAGTTCAACTAGAAGATGCAAGAACTCCCCAATCCATAGGTAACAGTTCAGCCTTGCTATGCCTCAAAACATTTATGTGATTTTACATTGTCCCCTTATCTGTGGCAGATACCACACAAAAAAAGTGCAACATACTTGCTAAATCTGGAACAGGAAGCATTTATATCTGTGTACAGGTAAAAAAAAATAAATCAATTCATTACAGTACATTAATGCAATTTATCACAGCTATCTTTTATATTCCATAGAAAAAAAGGTACAATTAAGATATACCTCAGTAGGTCTGGGATACAAGATAACTTACTGAAAAATGCCAACATGAAGATGCCATCATTGCCCACTCTAAGCTGATCTGCATCACTGAAATCATCCCGTGGCGGATACTCTTCTTCCTGGATTTACAGGTTAGTGATAATTTAGTGAAAAGTTTATTTTAGAATAACTATCTGTAGGATTAAAGTATTAATTATGCTTCTAAAGATAGAAGAAGAAAATTGACATTTCTGTAACACGTCCACATCAAGGAATTTTAAAGGAAAAAATAATTCGTATCGATAAAACAAGTCTTATTTGTTGCTTATATTATCAGAGCCCAAATTTTTCTGTAAATGGTTCTTTAGAAGATATGTACATATTGCCTATTCATTTTTAAATGAAGCTAGAAATTATTTCAGATAAGCACTTTGACAATCAAAACCAAAAGAAACTTCTTTTTACTGTAGCTATCTTGATATGCAGCCAAACTATTAAATTTTTTTTGAAGTCACTGCAGAGTATGTTCTATTTTTTCCTGCCAGAAAAGTCTTCTATGTTTCCAAAAATACAGAATAAAATTTTAGAGTAAGGTTAGTATCTTAAAATAAACTGCTGATGCAACAGCACTGCACTAACCAATTTGACTATCCTATATTCCACAAAAAAACAGATGCAGAGGAAAGAAAATCTCTAGGGACACTAGAGGGCGCGAACAGATTAAAAGCGTTTAAAAAGCCTTCTAAAGTACTGTGCAGTTTTTGAGTTTAGGTCAAACAAAAGTAAACAAAGATGTCAGTCAAAACGATCCAAAGATTTCTCCCATCGTGTCAAAATACTAGATCTTAAACTACTGAAAGTATGAGGGGTTTATGCTTCTCAGCACTTGATTTCTCAACAGAACTTGGCAGATCTTAGGTACACAGTTACATGCATAACTAAAAGATTGCTGCAGCTGCAGACCGGCAAACGTAAAGGTTTTCATGATGACAGCACCTACTAAAGACAGCCTGATGAAAACTGTAAAATTAGTGAAACACACCATTTTTATACTTAAATGAAGAACATCAAAACAATGTAGGATGATACAAGTAATACTGTCAGTAGCAGCAGTAATACGGAAAAAAAAAATCTTGAGTAACATTCTTTTGCTATTTCTTTTCTCCAGTAAATCATTATGTATGAGAATTAAGAGAAGAAATGACATATTAATAAAAATGAAATCAAGGGAAATCAGTTCAAGCGAGATTTCTCTAGTTACTTTACCCACCACAAACAATTACTACTGAAAAAATGTAATTCTGATTTTAACACATTATTCAAATGTTATCATAGAATCATAGAATGTTTTGGGTTGGAAAGGACCTTAAGATCATCTAGTTCCAAACCCCTGACGTGGGCAGGGACACCTTGTATATTAAGCTCATAACTAAACGGGCATTAAACAGTCACAGTGACCTAAACCTCTGTCATGTGACAGATGTTCACCTTTGTCAACACATCAAACTAATTTACAGGGTATAGCAATTATGCTACAACGAACTGTACCAACTCAAGGCAGCCAACTTTACCCTTCGAAACATGCCGTGAAATTCTGTCTGTGCTCTTGTTTCAGATTAATTAGCCAAGAAAGACTCTGCACTGGACAACTTACTTCAAAAATACTGCTATCAACATAGACAATTCCAACGCAAGCACAAAAAGCTAGCTGAACAACAATCTTAAGGGGCTGTATAGTTCAACTCTACATAATTTCAGGTGTCCCTAAATGGTCATCTTAAGCGACTATGAAAGCATTAGTTTATTTAGCTCAACACTGCTGCAGCGACAAGACAGAGGGTAGGGGGAGAGTAGGGGGGTGGGAGGAAGAAAAGGAGAGAGCTGAAAATGCATTAAACAAAGAGCTGCATTTGAATGTGCTTATCTCTAAAATCTATGTTACAAACGTTCCTTTTTCGAGTCAGGACAACAAAAAAAATACTGAATTTTAACTTCGGAAGGTCTGTAAAAACCCATAACCCCATTTAAAATAGTTTTTGGATCTTTTTTAAACAGCTAACTATTGTACTGCTCATACTGGTATTTCCAAACTAATTAGTGAATTATACTCTATGCAAAATGTTGCTTCAGAAAAAGAAAATTTTGCTTAACTACAATAACAAGTTTAGCAGGTTTCTTTATATGCACAGGTTTCTTTACGGCTTACACATGTGAGAAACACAGGTCAATATACAGCCCTGGGACATGAGAGCAGACATTTGCAAGTAGGCACTACTGGGTTAAGTGTGAACAAGTTGTAATTTATCACCATCCATGTCTAAAGGAAATTATATTAAACTGAGTTCTATCTACTGTCTCCAAAAATTGGCATATGAAAATTATCATAAATTGTTTCCTGCGCTTAAATTCCGTTCAACCTCCATCTGTATCATTTAGTATTATGTGGGTTTATGATCGGTCCTGTAGACGGAAGACACTAACTGGCCACTGCTCAAGCCCCTCTAATATTGCCTGTCTTTCACAGTGCTCTCGTTTGAACCAGCTGGTGTCAACTGCCCCAGTCTTTCTTCAAAACATTAATGTTTGCCACCATTCATCAAGGAAAACAGACAGTGAATAATGACTGTCCTCTCTGCTGATGCTCAGAACTAAATGCAATTCGATAGTAATAATTTTATTAGGGACGTTTTTATCAATGAGAATATGTATATTTCTTCTTAATGTCGTCTAACAAAACACACAAATCCATAAAATATGTAATATTGTTTCAGTATCTCATATTGATTTTTGACAAATTTAGCCAGGTTAAGGATCATGGACAGTATTTCTTATTTGCTAAATATGCTGAGATTCGTATAAACAGAAAACTTGCTGTTTCTATGACCAGAGACAGATCTAAACAAGAAAATACATTATCAACATAAATGGCATGTCACACAGAGTAATTGCTCTAAGGAAAAGAACATCAAATGATACACAGCATCCACTGAAGTCAAATTATTAACTCCTCTGAAACTACAGTGCTCTCTGTTGTATTCTGAAAAAAGAGGACTATTTTTTCCCCCAAATGCTTTTTAACTTCTTTCAAATTGAAGCCTAGTGCGGTGTACAGTGAGACAAAATTACCTTTAATCAAGTCAAGAACCCAAGTTTTCAGGAACCCCTCAGATAACTAAACTGACGTAACTCTTCTCAATGGAGTGGATTTACAGAGAAAAACTTGTGAGGAAAGGGTCAAATTACTCAATAAACCCCATTCAGCATACAAAACAATATAGCGTTAATGGTGGTGGGGGTGAAAGGCACAATGAACCCCAGAAGTATTTGTTTGCCAGCAGGAAAATTCATAGTTAAAGTCTAAACTAGAGAGAACTATACCATACCTCTGGATGACTGAGGAATATTTCATCAAACAGACTCCTAGACTCCCTAAACTGGGCGTGCTAAGCATGTAAAAACAGAAAAAAGTAAGACAAATGCAACTGAAAAGCATTAAGTAAAAGCCATTCATTGCAACATACAAACAAGTCATTTAACTGTTAGAAATACTTCTGCCCATGTTAATTGACCTTTCAAAATTGACCTTGAGAATTTGAAAGGAAAACATCAAAAGTCAAGGTAACTAATGCTATCAATACTGATGACATAGAGCTGCTACAATTTCTTTGATACACTGAGCTATCTGGGAGCGTTTGAAATAAATGATTATACAAAATCTATTCTTGTAAGACAAGCTACACAAAGAACTACAAAAACAAGAATTAAAAGTTTTGGTAAATGTTAAATTTAGATTATGCATACAATCTGTAATCCAGGGCCTATGATGGAAGTCTTTAACATGATCACATTGATGCTTTTTAAGATCCTGGGGGGGGGGGGGGAGCGGAATATGAAGGCTGTTTATTAAATGTCTGCCTTGTAATACCATTTGCTCAATGAGGTTTTTGCCTTCTTTACTGCACACTTTGGATTATACCATGAAATAACTATCAGCTTCATGTATTACTCAAGGTAACGTAAGGACATTTAACTTTTTCCAACTGTTCACATTATTGTAGTGAAGAGATAAGCACAGCAGAGTTCACACTCTCAAGAGCACTGATTTCATAAGGCTGAAAATAAAAACAGAAAAAATTATCTTATAACCTTTATGTTTTGCAACGTGTGTAATATACAAGTCGGATATCGTCTTCAGCTGTCACTGCTTGTGATCTCCATGACAATGAAAGTGAGAAAACAATTAACTACATACCAGCAGTGCAAAGTTTAAGTCACTTAACTGTTCCTCCACAGGTATTCAGAGCTAAGGATCAAAATCCTTCTGCTCAAGACAGCAAACCACCACTGTAACCATAACGTGACATTTTTTTATTCCAGTCATCTGCCAGATGAAGACAGTCTTACTACACAGCCTTATCCACCCTAGTGTAAATCCATCAGAGGAATTAAATAAGGCAGAGATTTTGTGGCAGCATCATGTGGTAAGGTAATTAAAATGGCATTAATTAAAACTACATTTGTACATAATTTTAATATCATCTATAAAACTGGAACTCAACTTCAGCGTCTCTTTTTCCCCAAATCTCAGCTTTGCAACCTTAATACTACTGCCTTACTACAGCTTATGTGTGTGCCTCCATGTGCTTAAAGACAAACAAAAAACAACTACAAAAGAAAAACCCCACAGAAGCGAACTGAGCAGAAATTCTATCAAACTTGAGATCTTTAGCCATCAGCAGGATGTGGCTGTTCAGTACACTGAGTGGACTTCTGATACTAACTTAGTACTGCCATAGGTCTGTAACTTCTTAGCCAGTCTCTGCTTTGGGGGAATGATGGTGTGTTCCTACTGATTTTTCTTAAGTGAGTGAAATCCTTGTGGTGTCAGCACCTAGTACTTGAATGTCAAGTTCTACCATATGTTTTGGAAAAGCAGACTATACAAAAGCTTATTTGTCACTTTGTCACCATATTCAATTCTCTTACCTCTTAACTCCACATTCCTCTCCTTCCCTAAACCTCTTTTCTCACACACCAGTTTCAGCTCCTTTCCCAGTCAGTAACCCATTTTGTCCCCACTTAGGTTTCTTTCTCCACCAGTCCCAGTTTATCCTTCTCCCTCCTGTTTCCCATTTAAATCTCTATTTACTCCCTCCATAACACTGCTCTCCATTCACCTTTGCCTTTTCTTATTTTGACTTACACCCATTCTCTCTGATCTCTGTATTCACTTTGAGCCAGTCACCTCCTTGCCCAACCAAACCTGGGCTTCTCTTCACACAACACATAAGCTGTAGAACTTCAGAGTTATTGTTCTTTTTTTTTGTTGTTGTTGTTGTTATTGTCCTTGGTGTTGGTTTTCCCTGTGAAATTCAGGTCAAGGAAGACTGCTTGTATGTCTGAAACTTCAGTCTCACAGGGTTCTAGATGCACAAAGTTTAAAGCAACAAGAATCTTGTGAGGGAGTTGCACATGACCTGTCTGAAGCGTCACAGGACTGGCAATGATACCCTACAAGTTAAGGTTTAGGCTGCCATGTTCCAGTAAGTTTAAAGGTTGAATAATTTCAGATTAAGGGTTCCATTCAGACCAGCATTTCAGCACAAGTTTTTTTTAATATGGTAAGCAGCAAGGACAGACTACACAGAACCCACACTCCTGTTAAAGCAGTTAAAAGGTTACATTTGGATATCATCACCTCATAGCAGAAACTTGGCAAGTAACCATTTAAATGTCCCTGGTTCTCTACTGCATTTAGTAAACAGATTTGCCTTCACTGGCAATGATACACAAATCCAACTTAAACTTTAGCTGTTCATACCTTACAGTGAATGCTGTGCACTGTGATTACTGCACAGCAGCCAAAGAAGGAACAGCCTTCCGCTGGGTGAGTGGAAATTTTTTCCCCACTCACAAGCACACTGCAACCAGTAAGACTTTTAATGCATCTCAAATGCAACCACATTTGATCTCAAGGTGGAGATTTTTAGTGAAAGCACTGGATGCCTAATTTGAGTGTAGTATATTATATCCAATACTACTGAACAGCAGAATTTCCATATTCCAAAACTTGGGAGAAAAAAGGGAAGAACTTTGCTTACAAAACTAACATTTGACACTAATTGCAACACCAATTTTCTATTTTGAAGACTGGATTCTTTATAATGTTCATTCTCACAAAACTATAAACATTGGATATATTCCTATTACTTACTTTAGTGTTCAGCATAATTCATAGTGGGGGGGGGGGTTGTGTTGGGTTTTTTAAGTACTTGGAACATTTCTCTGAACTTCAGTATTAATGCTTTCATGGATACTTTTAAAAAGATCTGCATTATTTGGGGGTTTGCCCATTTCAGACAGTTGTAATTCTCCTTCCTCTCTAATTTGGGGTTTTTTTGGTTTGATTTGGTTTTTTTGTGGGTTTGTTTTCGCCTTTTTTTTTTTTTCCCCCACATCTGACACCCTAAACATGAGCAGTAAGTCTACAAAGTAACATTAATAACGGCTACTTAAATAAAAGATGACACAATACTGGACAAACTATTAAAACAGGGCAAAATTTGGCTTTTAAAGCTGTTTAGACAGCAGCTATGACTCAGAAAGGAGCAAAACTATACAATACACTTTTCATAACACTTTACAACTAACTTACACTATCAATACAAAACTTAAGCATCCAAAGTATTTAAATCACCAGCCCACCATTATTTTAATAAATACTCTGTTAGAAATAGATTAGCCTAACATGTTTCACAAAACTGAAATAAAACAGAACTTTATCACTTACTCGTTGGGCAACTTCTGCTGCAGCAGCAGCCATTGCTGCAGCTTTGGCCTTCTCTGCTTCATCATAAGTAGGAAGAGAGGTAGCTACGCTGTATGGAGGTGGTACAGGATAAAATTCATTGTGTGTTTCTGTTCAAAATAAAGAGGTTATGCATTTTTAAGCCAGAAAAATGTCAAGAATATTATATTTTATATGCACGTAACTATTGAGCTTTAAGAAATTTTTTTTCAACCGAGGCTGAAATGTAGATTTGTATTTCAAGCTCTTGTTAAGCTTACAAAAAAACCCCACCCCTTTCTGAAATAAGATAGTGAACAGCTTAACAGTGCTTTCAGTTGCTACTCAAGGTAGAAACCTTAACCTAGATTCTGCAAGGAGCCAACAAGCTTATGGAAAAAAAGAAATCATAATCTGAGTTATATCCCTAGGCGTTCCAACCTAAGGCTTTTTACCAAATCATACAAGAGACATGCACGGAAATATCCTAAAAAAACCCCGAAAGACCTTCTTAATTATCAACATCAGCTAGTTACTTAAGTACAGTAATAATCATGCTGTACAAAAATGGCCTTGTTACTAACTCGACTTCTGTGAAATCCAGTTTTTCCAAGATTTTAATTTCACCACTACACTCTTTCAGAAGCGTTCCTTCTATCAAAATGGACCACAGACTTCATTCTAATATTGAAACAGTAGAACATCATCATATAGAATAGAAGTATTAACAAAATAAACAAAAAACTATTTAAAATACAGCTTGAGCTTCCTCCTACAGCTAGCAGTAGTTTGTAACAAGATTGCTTAAGTGGTAAAGATCTGTCAGAAGAAGTCACCTGGTAAAAGATTTGTCAGCACACCAACACAAAAGACGTTCTATATAGGGATAGTTCTGCATAGCTATGTATTAAACTTGCAAACACTGTCTTAAAGAACAGGGATAGGAAATTGGTTCTTTAATCAACATGAGAAAAATTAGGTTGGAAATTACTTCTAAAATATTTATTTGGCACATGGGAGAGGCAAATTCAAGCAATTTTCCTGACCAGGGACTTTGATGTTGCCTGCTGTTAAGTCTCCAGTACCCCAAAGAAAAGTTTCAACCTCATGACAAAGGAAGCAGTGAATAAATGGGAAAAAAAGACTCCTGTTACTCATTTTCAATAAGGAGTTTTATCAATAGCCTTCAAAGCAAAATGAATCTTTTCATGGCAATATTTTCACCAAATGATGGTGCATACTTAAGAAGTTTGAGTTTTGACAATTCAGTGCTTTGTTGGTTTGGGGTTTTGATGGTAATTGCTACTGAGGTCTAATAATGGACTACTAATCAAAGATGTAGATTAAATGTGGAACTGAACTACAGGCAGACTTAAATAAAACCTATTATACTAATTAATGAACATCCATTTAGCCTACTAATTTGGAACAATCACCGTAATTTAGCAGCGTGCTGCTTCTGAACTAACCAGACAAAGGGCTGTGCATGAAAGCAGAGCTTTCTGCTCTAATTGTGTGTATGTAGGGAAAAAAAGAAAACACCCAACCAGAAACCATACCACAGCATCATATCACTTTGAACCAAGTGCTGATTCATACATACTCCTCCCTGACAAATTGCTATGTAAAAAAAATACCTGAGGTTGCAGCTGCTTCTACAACAGCTATGCTACAGTATGGTGGAGGGGACGTATCTGCTTCGGATAAGGCTGCTGTCTGGGGAGTCTGCGCAGTCTCAGTAGTAGACGTGGAAGGCTGCTCAGCCGCTGAAGGTTCTGGGGGGTCATCCTCATTGTGAAGCTTACAAGAAAAACACACAAATTTCAGACACATTCAGGGAATACTTTCCATGACAACCCAGTATGTGCAGAAACGTCTTCAAAAAGAGAGAAGCTTACCCTTCAAAAAACAAACATTTACAAAACAGCAGGTGACTACTTTAAGTAGTCCTGTCAAATCCCTTTAAGCAAACAGCTAAAGACTATCTTAACTGCTTTCCCTGCCTCTGTCCCCACCCCCACCCCAGAACTAGGTTTCTTCTCACCAGTGATTTCACAGAGTCTTAAAAATCTGGGGGGTTTAATGTTTACTATATGTAAAAATGCTGCCTATAAACTACTTTCTATTATGTTAATATTTTAACACCACTGCATTTTTTTCTATAATATGTTCATAAAATGTATATTGATGTTGCCTGCTGTTAAGTCTCCAACATCCCAAAGAAAAGTCACAACCTCATGACAAAGGAAGCAGTGAATAAATGGAGAAAAAAGACTCCTGTTACTCAATTTCCACAAGAAGTTTTATCAACAGCCTTTAAAGCAAAACGAATGATGAAAAATTAAGCAAGAATTACAAGCATAGAAGACACTTCAACAGTAGGCAGGTAAATTAAACACAGTGAAAGAAAACAGAAAATGCTTCAAAAGAAGTGAGCAATAGAACAACTTCGTGTAATTTTCATATGGCTTCTACAACACTCTCCTCTTTAAATGTGTCGAATTTGACTAAGTGATAAAGCTACTTGCTAAAGCATCTTTCATCTTTCTCAGGACTCCCTCCAAACACAGTATTCAAAGAACTATAGTTTAAAGATTAAAGGTTTTATCTCTAAACTATGCATATATGAATATACATATGTAAGCCTATGTATACACACAAGCACAATACACACACATACATTATTAAGAAGTAGTCACCTTCAGTGGAACTGATAGGGGCTACTGAGGAGTTTTGGGTACTGAGCAATCAGGTCATGTAATGGCTGATCAGTAATCCAGAAGTAGTAGTGACCTGAGAAATATGTATAGCCATTTAGAGCAGTTAAGGCCAAAGAAAACAAAACCACTTCAAAATAACCTAATATATTTAGGGACATAGAAAGCAAGTGAGAATACAAAACACTAAAAAGGTTGATCAAGTCAGAAAAACAACCTTAGAGCTATCAATGTTATGGCTCTAAATTAACTACAATCATTCACAAGAAAGTATCTAGTATTGCAATGGATATCACCAAAATGAGACCACTTTCAAATAAAACTGTCATCTGAGTAGCAAGGAGACAAGTAACAGAACATTGCTGCCATATTTGTACACTAAAGGCTGACACACCTACCCTCATTTGGGGTGGGTGTGTTGTTTTGGAAACCCCACCACACTGACCTGATCTACAAGTAGGGGAAGTAAAGCCTAGTTAATGAATTTCTGTCTATTAACTCCATACTTCCTCTCCTTCTGCCCTCAGCTTCAATTACTGCAACATGTTTTCCCTACCAAGCTGTAGTAGGTGCTGTCAGTACTCTGCAGCCACACAGAGATCCACAGTAGCTCACTGGTTAAAGAGTGTTATTTCTGCTCAAGAACCACTTTGCCACTACAGAGGAAATGAATTTTGCATCTTCTACATGCTTTCTTGAAAGTTGCCGTTCTCCAAATGACCTGTAATTTCAGAACAGTTACAAATGATGGAGGTAACATGAGAATGGGAAAGTATATGCTTTTTGTCTTCGAAGACTGAGTTAACTAGTCATTCAATGTTTACAGCAATTGCAACTGAATACAGAAAAATTCCATCCCGAGGGCTCCCTACAAGAGTCCTGTTATGCTCTCTAGTACATAGGGATCTTTCAAAGGGTCTTCATTTTGTAAAAGGACTCATATTTAGGGATCAAGAATTTCTATTTATTCTGTTTTTTACTATACAGATCTTTTGGATATTCTGAAAGTCATCAAGGTTATAATAATGCACCAAATTAAAAATGTGACTCCTTACAGAATACCCCATCTTCAAAATCACAAGAAATGGATTAAGCAGCTTCAGTGTTTACAGACAGAATAACACACACAGGCAGTTCCATGAATATACACCACTTTTTGACAGTTCTTGCTCAAGTGCCCTATCTCTCCTCAAGGCAGCAACTTCAGCTCCTCTCGCGGGATTCCACTGGGGTAAAAACCAAACCAAAACAACAAAACCCCACAACCACAGGAGAACTTGCTCAGAGAGCTGGAAATTGTGCCTATGCCAGTAGGGTAGACAGCGGTGGTTATATCCTTTTGTCTTATAGCAACTCTGCCTTGTCTTCAACAGGGCACTGATTCTCCTCTGACCAGTCACCAGTTTGCTTGAAACCAGTAGGAATCCAACTACCTTTGAGCCTCCCCCTTCCCATTTAATTTTGGCTTATACTGGCTGTTAAATTTAGAAGTTATTTTTGGAGACAGGGGAAGAAGCAGCCTGACACTCTGCATAGGTTTCATTGCCATAGAAACCAAGCGAAAAACACTCAAAAGGGAACAGAAAACGTCTGTTTCAAGGCATTACTTATGCTATATATGTAAATGTTACCTGAAACAGCATTTAACATTAAAAATGTAGAAATAGTATCTTAAGATTCCCCTCCCCCCCAATACTATTTTGCCCACTTTTTAAATTAAAGTACTAAAGAGAACTCACAGTTTATCATCCCAGTCCCCTTCCAGCCCCCCAATGAACCATTACACAGTAGCAAGCAATACAGCTGCTTCTGCCCAGATTATGGTCAGAACAATTGCCAGGACCTATTAAACTAGAGACAACTGTAAATTAGTACCTTCGCCTGACCCACCCTCACATTTTAACAGCAGGACACAAAGACATCTTCTGCCTTTGCATCTTGCTTTCTACTCAGGGTATCTGGCTGACTATACGGAGCTTTACAATTTAAAAAAAGGAACACTTCATTATTAGGCATAGTACACTTAAACTGCTTATACAAGTATTTCAGTCCCTGCTTTCACAGCCCTCAAACTACAGCACATTACAGGCTCAAAAGTCATGATGCTCATATTCTCAAGATGTATCTATGTTAGGACATTCAAAATTCAAAGTTCAATCAAGAAGCAATGGCACTCTGCCACCAATGACTCAAATTCTCATGGTAACTACTAAAGAGCATACAGTAAAGGAAAGAAACATTCATTTCCTTCATATCATTTTTACCCTATACTATCTTCAGTTTCTTTCCAAGGAAACACTCCATAAAACAACGATTCACCTTCATTCCAGAAGAAGTTAAAATAATGTCAGACTTTTCAGCACCAAAATATTGTGGAAAATACAGCTACCTTTATTTTATTCATCTATATATACATATAAGAAATAAATTATAAATAATTTCTTTAAAGTACTGCGCCTCCTCCTGCAATTTAAGTCTGTTATTTTGTTTGTGTAATTATTTCCAAAGTAATCGGATGCAGTGCCTGAAATCAGCTGGTACCATACAAAGAACATGAACCACAGGAAAGGCCTTAGTACAGAAGCCTTTACTGAAGGGACTGATGCAGATGTTTTTAGTGTTTCAGCTTTTCAAAATAAAAACCTGGGAGGAAGATGTCATTCTCTACTTCACATTTTTCATTTACCTGCAGATTGTAATTTTGTCTGACCTACAGAAGTTTGCTCATCTGCACAAAGAGAATTTGTTTCATTTGTGATGAATGGACTGATTGTTCAAGAGTGGCAATAAAGGCAAGTTATTAAAATATGCCAATAAAAAAAAAAAATCAGTGGAAATGACATAAGATGTCTTATGTCACCTGCATCAAACATACACAAGGCTAGAACAATGTTTTCCAATATAAAGTGCAGTAAGGCAGATCACACTCTAGTCACAGTGTAACACAAGCAGCATTATTTGTGTTACCTCATTTTATGCACATTTCAAAAGCTGCTGTTTTCCCATTTCATTATTCACAGAAATCAATATATTATAAAATTATTGCAACATAATCAACTTCAACGGCACATTGAAAGCATTTTAAAAATACTTTCTTTATAAACATATGCTATTTTCATGCTATTTATATAATTTAAGTGAAGCATAAAATTATGCAGAAGATAATGCGACATGGGAAAAATACCCAAACAACTAGCCAGCTTTCTTTTTCTGTTTCCCTTTATACCTTTAATAGTAGCTCATCTTGATGATGCCTGACTTTTAGGTAAGCTTTTGCATAAGTTTTAGTAGTGACAGTCCTTCCTGGGGCGCCACAAAAATTCACGTCATTCTCACTATCAATTGTAAATTACAAGCACTTTTAATGCGTCCTCCTTTCCAGCCTTTGCAATGATACTACTTTTCTCAAGAAGCTTGGCTCCTCCAGTTTTGACCTCATGCTGACCAGTTCATGGGTTCTTTCAAACTACATTAAAAAAAATACAAGGCATAGTAACTCCGGAATGTTGGACTTAATATCCTGCCTTGAGTAAAAGTGTGGAGACAACTAAGTAGATCATGCAAGTTTAACCTTTGTATGCAAACCAGTCAGTTGGTACACTTCCTCCACAAAAAAGTAATGCTCTGAGCAACAGAGGCTCATCATCTTCTTACTCTGTAGGTGTTACGACTTTGGTCTTCTACAGTCAGTTTTTCAGACTATGCCAAAAGGTCAACCAAAAATACCCACTTACTGCAGCTTCTAGTGCGGGAAGGACTGAAGACAGACTCATCTCAAGATTGCCAGTGCAATGCACAAAAACCACTCCAACATTTCTGCAGTAGATTCATGACATCTTCCATACTGGTACAAGAGTATTTATTCCACAGAAATTCTACTATAGTAAGTACTGGAGATGTAACCACCAGTAGGTTAAAAAGAAAACTGCCATCACCTTCATTAAGCTTTCAGGAAGCTTCTCTGTTTCACATCTGATGCTTTCATTTGCTGAAAAATTCAAAGGCCTTTTACACCTGCCTAGTGGTAGCCACTTGTAAAACTGTACTGAACTGTTCCCTACAAACAAGGCTTGAGATTGAGAC